TCGCGTCCAGCCACCGTACCAGCCGCCGCGCGAGGACCCCCGTGTAGAGCTTGTAGATGGCTTGCTGGAGGCAAATGGGCCTCCAGTTCGCCGGGTCCTCGCGCGCGCCCTTCTTGTGCAGCAGCCGCACCACCCCGAGCTTCCAGCTCTGGGGCACACGTTTCGCCTCCCAGCACTTCTGGAAGGCGGTGGCGAGCACGGGCAGGAGCTGCGCGGCGAAGTGCTGGTACACGTCATAGCCGACGCCGTCGAGGCCGGGGCTGGAGGTGCCGTGGGCGTGCTGCAGCTGTGACTCGATATCGTCCTGTGTCGGCGCCTCCGTGAGCAGCTCCCTGAACCTCGACGCGGCAGGCAGGTGGGTCATAGCGGAGCGGAAGGCAGCACCCGCCGGGGCGTCAGGAGCGAACTCCTGGCTGGGTGTGTTGACGCCGTCGAAGTACCGCCAGAGCTCATCGCCCGGAATGGGGCAGGTACCGTCGTCTGTAGCGCCTGCCGCTGGCGCCGCTGGGTCCGATGCGGTGCCGGCGCTGGAGGCCGCTGTCCTTGGTGTCTCCTGCTGCGCGCGTGCCTTGGACAGGATGTCTTCGACGCAGGCTTTCTCGTCCGTGTCGAACCGGTGACGCAGGTGCCGTTGGTCGATGGCCGAGTTGACGCGGCCGACGCGGCGGCGGGCTCGGCGAACAGCAGTGCGGTCTCTGGGCGAAGCCTGCTCCACGGCGTGGAGGTCGTCCAAGGCCTCGTCGAGGCGGTGCTCGCGGTGGTGTCGAGTCACCCGCGGCGGGCGGTGGCGACGTCGCCGCTTCGCTGCACCAGAGCGCCCGCGGCGCCTGCGCTGCCTCCGTCGCGCTGGGTCCTGCTGACTGGCGTCGCCATCGCGCTCGTTGTCTCCATGTGCATCGCCTTCCAGGCTGCGGCGGTCCTGCCCTTGGTCGTGCAGCGGGCGCTGCCGTCGCTGTTCGCCTTGTTGCCGCTGCTGCCGCGGGCACTGGCTGCCTTGGTGCTGCTGTCGCTGTCGCTGGGGACGCGGCTCGGGGCGTCGCTGGGCCTGGGAGTACGGCTGCAATTTGTCGTACAGGAGGTGCGGGAGGGCTGTGATGTAGCCCTCCGCCGACTCCCAGTCACTGGCGTCAGTGATCTTGGCCGCCAGCGTCGCGCCAAGCCGCTCCACCATCTCGCGGGCAGCGTCGTCCTCAGCTTCGGTGAGCTGGCGTAGTCGGAGGCGGGGTCGACGCTGCGGAACTGCGTCCGGCCCGATGCGCATGGCTGCATAGACCTCGCCGTCGTCGATGTCGGCGAGATCCTCGTCCTCCGGCTCCTGCATCTCGGTGTTGGTGTCGGCCGCGGGTGTCGGAGGCGGAGTGCGGGGTGTCGGCTGGGGCGGCAGCACGGGCATAGGGTCCAGCGTCGTGTTCGTACAGCCGTCGCCTGCCGTGTGAGCACCGCACTCCATCACCGTCCGGCGGAGGTCGAGGGCTCGGTTGGCCAGGCGGTCGGCATGGGCATTCGCTTGGCGGTCGATGTGGTGGAGTGAGAAGCTCCCCACCCGCGCGAGCTCCACCTTGACTTGGTCGCGGAGGCGGCGTAGAACGGCGTTCCTCGCCGCGAAGATGCCGCGCACCTGCTGGATCACAAGGGTGCTGTCGCCTTCCACCCGCAGCGACGTCGCTCCGTGGTCGGCAGCGGCTCTCGACCCGGCCACCGCCTTCCAGAAGTGCTGGGAGGCGAAACGTGTGCCCCAGAGCTGGAAGCTCGGGGTGGTGCGGCTGCTGCACAAGAAGGGCGCGCGCGAGGACCCGGCGAACTGGAGGCCCATTTGCCTCCAGCAAGCCATCTACAAGCTCTACACGGGGGTCCTCGCGCGGCGGCTGGTACGGTGGCTGGACGCGAACGACCGCCACGCCCCGGGACAGAAGGGCTTCCGAGCGGTCAACGGCTGCGGGGAGCACAACTTCCTCGCGGCCACGCTCGTCGACCAGGCCCGCCGCAAGCGCCGCCAGCTCTACGAAGTCTGGTACGACTTCCGCAACGCGTTCGGCAGCGTGCCGTTCGCGCTGCTATGGGATGCACTCGCGCGGCTCGGCGTCCCCGACGACTACGTCACCATGTGCAAGGGGCTCTACGAGAGCGCGGCGTTCGTCGTCGGGAACGCCGCCGACGGCACAACGGCCCCGATCTCGCTGCGGGTGGGAGTCTTCCAAGGCTGCCCGCTCAGCCCACAGCTCTTCAACGCTGCCATCAGCCCACTGCTCTTCGCGCTGAAGCGACTGCCGGCCACGGGAGTGCCGCTGTCGGGCGATGACTGCCCCGGTGCCTCGGCATACGCCGACGACCTCAAGATCTTCAGCGGCACCGAGGACGGCATCAAGCGACAGCACGCGCTCGTGGCCGACTTCCTCCGCTGGACCGGCATGGCGGCCAACCCCAGCAAATGCTCCACCATGTCGATCCAGCGCGACCGCCGCGGCGTGCTCAAGGCGGACGACCTCAAGCTGGAGCTGGACGGGTCGCCGATCCCCGCGCTGTCCATGAGCGCCTCGTACACCTACCTGGGGGTCGGCGACGGCTTCGACCACACGCGCCGCCGCGTCGAGCTCGCGCCTATGCTCAAACAGCTGAAGGATGACGCGACAGCGCTGCTCCAGTCGGGCCTCGCACCGTGGCAGGTGGTGAAGGCGGTGAAGACGTACCTCTACCCTCGGGTGGAGTACGCGCTTCGCCACCTCCGCCCCTTCCAGCAGCAGCTTGCGGGCTTCGACCGGCACCTCGCGCGAGGCCTCCGCCATCTCCTGCGACTGCCAGCCTCCGCCACAGCGCAGTGCTTCTACGCACCGGTGTCGCGCGGCGGACTGGGCCTACTGCCGCTGACGGAACTGCACGCGGCGCTGCAAGTCGCGCATGGGTGGCAGATGCTGAACTCCAAGGACCCTGCCATCCAGCGCATCGCGCGCGTGCAGCCCCGGCAGATCGCCGACGCGCGCCACCGGCTGGACACTCAAGCGTGGGCGGGCCGCGAGGAGGAGCTGTGCGAGCTGCTGCTCAACTCGCAGCTCGGGACGTCGCCCGACGCGCCGCCGAAGCGCCGCAACGGCGACATCGGCTCGCTCTGGGTCGACGTCCAGCGCCACCTCCGCACGATCGGCCTCCAGTTCGCGACCGCACCGGCGTGCACCGACACCGGCACGGCCGCGGCCACGCTGCAGCTTCGCGTGCCGCACCACGACAAGTGGCTCGACCACCGCACGGTCCTGCGGCACGTGAAGCTGCACATCAAGCACAGGCACTGGACCAAGTGGGCGGCCATGCGCGACCAAGGCAGAACGGCACGCGCGCACGGCGGCGTCGGCAGCAGCTTCCTCACGCGGCCGCGAGGCATGTGGGAAGCTGACTATCGCTTCGCGGTGGCCGCCCGCTTGAACCAGCTCGACACGCACAGTGTACTCAAGCGCCGGCGCCTCCGGGCCCACCACCGATGCAGGCAGCCGGGCTGCTCCCGGGTGGAGACGCTGGCGCATGTGCTCAACCACTGCCCGGGCACCATGGATGCGGTCCGCGGCCGCCACGACGACGCACTCAAGACCATCGAGCGTGCGCTCATCGCGTCGTCGTCGGGCGACCGGCAGGACCGCGTTGAGCTCCGGGTTAACCAGACCGTGCCCTCGCTCGCTGGCCCCGCGCTACGGCCCGACCTCCAGCTGTACAACCACACCAAGAAGACGGTGGCGGTGGTCGATCTGGCCGTGGCGTTCGAGGAGCAGGCGGGCGAGGACCCGGACAGCTCAGCGCTGGCCCGCATCGCCGCACACAAGCGCGCCAAGTACGACCGCATCAAGCGCCACCTCGAGCGCCAAGGGTGGAAGGTGCACCTCTCGGCGCTCGTTTACGGCTCGCTTGGTGCGGTCGCCGGTGGCAACCGCTCGGTTTACACCGAGCACCTGGGGCTGCTCAAGCGAGACGCGAAGCGGCTGGACTGGCAGCTATCTGCCGCGTGCATACAGTCCAGCCGCCGCATCTGGAACCTGCATTGCAGCCAGCACCGCGCCCGCCAGCACGCACAGCGCCCCAGCCAAGACACCAGGGGCAGTCGGGTGACGGAGACCGGGGGGACTCCGTCGCGCTCCGGCCGCCGCTAGACGGCAACCAGGCCCATTGCGGCCGACAGGGCCACACCCATGTAGGGAACCGCCCTCGGAAACCCTGCACCGGCTCACATGGTCCGACCCCCCGATTGGTTCAACCCGTACACCAACTACACACCAATTAGGGACTCCCAGGTAGTCACTATCAGGACGCAACGGACTAACCGGCAGGTAATACATTAACCCTTTCTGTTCTAATCAGTGTGAAAACTGGTTTCCCTGCTTTTGGTGGGGTCTTTTTCACGTTCATTTTTGGAAGTGCTGCTTTCGGTTAGCTTGCTAGCCAATCGCGGTACGGTCTCCGGGGGCTTTCACCCATCCCCCGCGAGGCCAACTACACTTGATCTTCTCCGTTTCCTCTACTCTTATTTTTGCATCAACTGTTAATATTGACATATTTCAGCCTATTGCTATATTTTATAATGTTATTGCTATATTTCGTAATTCTATCGCTATATTTCGTAATTCTAGTGCTATATTTCGTAATTCTATCGCTGTATTTCGTAATGCTAGTGCTATATTTTATAATGCTATTGATAGGTTTGGCATTATCCACCGCAGCTTTTTGCAATTTAAAAGTTTCACTTATCCGACGTCACAACGGAACAGCTGGCACTGTTTAGGGTTGTGGACCTTCTCGGCCTTTGGCTAAGATCAAGTGTAGTATCTGTTCTAATCAGTGTGAAAACTGGTTTCCCTGCTTTTGGTGGGGTCTTTTTCACATTCATTTTTGGAACTGCTGCTTTCGGTTAGCTTGCTAGCCAATCGCGGTACGGTCTCCGGGAACTTTCACCCATCCCCCGCGAGGCCAACTACTACTTGATCTTTTCTATCCTCTTCCTTCTTCTGCCTACGGGCCGGCAACTACCTTTTCGGCCCTTCACCACCGCATCGGCGCATGCGCTTCTGGTGGCCGGACTGGCAACCCCGGGAGCGCTCGCCGTCCACCGACAGCGAGTGCTCCATGGCCAGCCACTCCAGCCTCGCCAGCGACGCGTCTTTCTATAGCGCGGCCAGCGACGGGGCTGGGGCGGCTGAGCTGGCGGACGTCCGGGCGGGGGCGGATCCGCTAGGGCTTCGGTTACGCATTGGGGATCCGCCCGCCCCCGTTTTGGGCTCGGCCGGAGCCGAAAATGGCCCCGGCGACCCTCCACGCGCGGCGCCGCTGCTCGGCACCGGCGAGGAGTTGGCCGGCGCAACTTCGGGCACGGGTCCGCGACCCGCTGCGCCCATTGCGCCCATTGCGGGACCGCGGGCCGGGCCCTCTGGCGGCCAAGCCGAGGCCCGGTCCGCCGCTTCAACCTCGCGTCGCTTCGCGGCGACGGCGAGCAGACGCGGGCCCGCGGACCGTCCGCCGGGCGGGACCGGGCCCCGTTCACTTGGCCTCACTATGCCAGGATCCCGGGCCTCTCGTGCGCCGCGCGGCACGGAGTACACGGCCGAAGAACACGGCCTCGAGGACGCGGCGCTTCGAGCAGCAGCGCCGAGTACTCGGCAGTGTTGTTCGTTTCACTGCTGCTCGGCATGTAGTGGGAGCACGTCCACACCACGGAGCCGTCGGGCTTGAACAGCGCTGCACCAGCTCCGCCGGGTCCTGGGTTGGCGCGGCAGGCGCCGTCGAAGCGCAGCAGCCACTCTCCGGCGGTGCCGCTGTCCACGTCCATCGCCGCCGCTGTCGCCGTCCGGTCGGGTGCGGCCGCCGGGTTGTCCTCCTGGTTTGCGTCCCTGGCCGTCAGGTCGGCTCCGTCCGCCGAGGTGTCCTCCTTGGTCTCGCCGTCAGCCGTCGGCTCTGGTGGGAGCAGGCGAGCGGCGATCCGAGACGCCACCATGCGGCGCGGCAGCGGTGGGCCCCAGCGAGGCGCCGGAACCTCACCGAGACGCGCAGCTATGCGGGTGGACACCAGCTCTCGGGGCAGCGGAGGTTCCCAGCGTGGTGCTGGAATGGCACCAAGGCGCGCGGCGACACGTTCAGCGACCAGAGCTCGGGGTAGCGCTGGCCCCCATCGTCCCTGGCTCGGCTGCTCCGGCACTTCAACAACTTCGGGATGAGTGGGGCTCGCAAGCGGGGGGGACGCTGCGAGCTCCGGGGTTGCTGGTTGGGGCGAGTCGGGCGTGACAGTGGCCGCCGCGACGGTGGCGTTGGCTGCGGCAGCGGTGGGGCTTGATGTCCCTGCCACTGGCAGAGCCGTAGCTGGAAGTGCAGTCGAACGGCCGGCGCACGCTTGCGCGTGTTTAGCTGCCGCTGGCCGCGACGCAAAGGGGGTGCCGCACGCGCAGCCCGCCAGAAACTTGTCCTGGAAGACTGCGCGCCGGTGCCGAGTGGTCCGATGCCTCTGCAAGGAGCTGAAGCTGGCTGCCGTGAACGTGCACAGCGTGCACGTGAAGCGCTCCGCGTTGTGCACATACACGGCGAGGACAGGGGCCGAGAGAGCGCTGGCCGCGTATGGCTTGTGCGCTTGGGGTGGGTCCTCGACTCCGTCCTCGTCCGCGAGCTGCAGGTGCTCGGCCGGCTTCTGGGCGTCGGCGTCGTCTTCGCTGTTGAGGCGGCGGCGCTTGCCGTCCGGGCGTCGCTCGCTGGGTCGGCGAGGCGATGGGCGGCGCTGCCTGGGCCGGACGCGGCCTTGGTCAACGTCCATGGCCTCTGCGGGGGAAGGCGCCGCCTGCGAGGCGCGCTGTGCGCAGGCGAGGGCATGGCTCGTCGCCGCCATCCGCGAGTGGAACACGAGGCTGCACGCGCACCCGCTGTCGAAGATGTCGGAGAAGCGGGTGCCGCGGTGCGCCGATCTGCGGTGGGCGACGAGCGTAGCCAAGTTGCCTGCGACGTACGCACACACGCTGCACTTGAACTCGGTGGCGCTGTGTGCGTACGTCGTCTGCACCGGCTCCTGCGCGGCGACTTGGTCGGCAGTTCGAGCCGCAGCGTCAGCTGCAACTGCCGCCTCAGCAATAGCTGCAGCAGTCGCAGCCGGCGCGGCTCCAGGCGTTGGCATGTCGGCGAGCCTGCCGCCCGCCCTGCCGGGCCGGGGCAACACACTCGCAGGGTCCGGGCGGGGCTTGGTGGCGGCAGCGGGGTCGTCTTGGCCGTCCGCGTCGTCGCCGTCGCCGTCGTCGTCCTGGGCGCGGCGGAGGTCGTCGGGGCCCTGGCTGCCCGTGGGAGCGCGCGCCGTGGCGGCTGCGGGCGCTCCACTGACGGGCAGCCTGCCGGCCGCCCTGCCGGGTCGGCCAACATCACTGGGGGGCAGCGGGGGCGCGAGGAGAGGCGGAGCGGCGGCGGCGGGGTCTTGGGCAGCCAACCGGCGCGCGTGGGGGTCCGTAGCAGGCGTGGGGGCTGCGCAGGAGCCGTCGCTCCGCCCGCCGCGCCGAAGCGCCGCGTCCTCGAGGCCGTGTTCTTCGGCTGTGGCGACCGTGCCGCGCGGCGCACGAGAGGCCCGGGATCCGGGCATAGTGCGGCCAAGTGAACGGGGCCCGGTCCCGCCCGGCGGACGGTCCGCGGGCCCGCGTCTGCTCGCCGTCGCCGCGAAGCGACGCGAGGTTGAAGCGGCGGACCGGGCCTCGGCTTGGCCGCCAGAGGGCCCGGCCCGCGGTCCCGCAATGGGCGCAATGGGCGCAGCGGGTCGCGGACCCGTGCCCGAAGTTGCGCCGGCCAACTCCTCGCCGGTGCCGAGCAGCGGCGCCGCGCGTGGAGGGTCGCCGGGGCCATTTTCGGCTCCGGCCGAGCCCAAAACGGGGGCGGGCGGATCCCCAATGCGTAACCGAAGCCCTAGCGGATCCGCCCCCGCCCGGACGTCCGCCAGCTCAGCCGCCCCAGCCCCGTCGCTGGCCGCGCTATAGAAAGACGCGTCGCTGGCGAGGCTGGAGTGGCTGGCCGTGGAGCACTCGCTGTCGGTGGACGGCGAGCGCTCCCGGGGTTGCCAGTCCGGCCACCAGAAGCGCATGCGCCGATGCGGTGGTGAAGGGCCGAAAAGGTAGTTGCCGGCCCGTAGGCAGAAGAAGGAAGAGGATAGAAAAGATCAAGTAGTAGTTGGCCTCGCGGGGGATGGGTGAAAGCCCCCGGAGACCGTACCGCGATTGGCTAGCAAGCTAACCGAAAGCAGCAGTTCCAAAAATGAATGTGAAAAAGACCCCACCAAAAGCAGGGAAACCAGTTTTCACACTGATTAGAACAGATACTACACTTGATCTTAGCCAAAGGCCGAGAAGGTCCACAACCCTAAACAGTGCCAGCTGTTCCGTTGTGACGTCGGATAAGTGAAACTTTTAAATTGCAAAAAGCTGCGGTGGATAATGCCAAACCTATCAATAGCATTATAAAATATAGCACTAGCATTACGAAATACAGCGATAGAATTACGAAATATAGCACTAGAATTACGAAATATAGCGATAGAATTACGAAATATAGCAATAACATTATAAAATATAGCAATAGGCTGAAATATGTCAATATTAACAGTTGATGCAAAAATAAGAGTAGAGGAAACGGAGAAGATCAAGTGTAGTTGGCCTCGCGGGGGATGGGTGAAAGCCCCCGGAGACCGTACCGCGATTGGCTAGCAAGCTAACCGAAAGCAGCAGTTCCAAAAATAAATGTGAAAAAGACCCCACCAAAAGCAGGGAAACCAGTTTTCACACTGATTAGAACAGAATGTGTGTTCGTGTTTACCAGTTAGTAACCTCTCCGTAACTGAAATGTAGGCTAAAATATGCATGTCACTAAAGGGAGGGTGTTTGTGTCTTCCTGTGTTTTTGAAGGGCGGTTCCCTACCTGGGTAGTGCCCTGTTGGTCAAATGACCAGCTTACCGCCGTGCCCGAGCCTGCGATGTGCGCCGCGGGGCCCCCCCAGACCCACGCGGCGCTCGCGAGGCGTTGCCGCTCCGTTGTCCTTCGCGGTGGCGCCGGCAGTACCAGCCCCAGATGCGGTGGCTGGCGCGGATGCAGTGGCTCGACAGCTGAAGGTCCAGCTGTCGAGCCTCGCGCTTGTGCAGCTTCAACTTTTCCGTGTAGGTGTTGAAGTTGCCGGGCTGCACCGAGCCCAGCGACCCGTACACGATCGCCGCGGTCTGCACCTGCCACCCCTTGAGCTGCAGCTCCGCCACGATCGGTTGGTACTTGAGTGTCTTGTGGTCGTGGCTGAGCTGCAGCGAGGAGTGGCGGGCGCCGGCCGCGTGCTCTTCGAACGTGACCGCCAAGTCGGCGATCACCATCTTCTTGGCGGCCACGATCCGCAGTACGATGTCTGGCCGCAGAGCTGCGCCCGTGTACTCGGGTACCGTCTGGTTCAGGCGCAGCTCCGCGGTCGACTTGCCGCGCTTGAGCGCGTTGCGGATCTTGGACCCGATCTGCTCCAAGGCGTCGTCATGACGCTGGCGGATTGCGTCCATGTTGGACTCGCAATGGTTGAGGACATGGGCCAGCGTCTCGGCCGAGGAGCAGGTCGGGTCCCTGCAGGTCTTGTGCGACCGCAGCCGCTTGCGCTTGAGCACGGCGTTCGTGTCGATCTGGTTGAGGCGGGCCTTCACGCCGAAGCGGTAGTCGTCGTCCGACAGGCCCGCCCATGTCGACATGAACTTGGCACCGACACCGCCGTGGGCCCGCACCGTCTTGCCCTGGTCCGCCAGACCCTTCCATCGGGTCTGGTGGCGGATCTTCATATGCAACTTTACGTGCCGCAGCACCGACTTGTGGTCGAGCCACTTGGCGTGGTGCGGCACGCGGAGGCCGAGTGGGTCCTGGCCGTTGCGGTCGTCCTGCACCGCCAGGCTGAGGTGGTAGATGCGCAGCCACCGCTGTACGTCGGACCACAGTGACCCGATGTCGCCGTGGCGGCGCAGCGCCTCCGCGTGGGGCGAGGCGGCGAGCTCGGAGTTGAGGAAGCACCGCACGAGCTCGTCGTCACGCCCCCGCCAGTGTTCTTCGCGGAGGCGGTGACGCTTGCGGGCCACCTGGCACACCTGTGCGCGCGCCACTTCCCGGATCGCTGGGTCCTTCGAGTGCAGCATCTGCCACGCATGGGCGATCTGCAGCGCGCGGTGCATTTCCACCAGCGGCTGGAGCCCCAAGCCCCCGCTCGACGTTGGTGCGTAGAGCACCTCGTTGGTTGCCGAGCGGGGCAGGCGTAGCAGGTACCGCAGGCCCTTGGCTACCACACGGTCGAAGCCCTGCAGTTGGGACTGGAGCGGTCGGAGGTGGCGGAGCGCGTACTCGACCTTGGGGTAGACGTAGGTCTTGAGCGCCTTCACCACCTGCCACGGCGCCAACCCCGACTGCATCAGCGCCACCGCCTCCCGCTTGATCTGCTGTAGCTTGGGCTCTAGCTGGAGACGGTGGCGCACGTGATCGAAGCCGTCGCCCACGCCGAGGTAGCGGTAGCTGTCGTGCAGCTTGATGCTTGAGACCTCCTCGTCGTGGAGCGACAGCTTCATGTCCTTGTCGTGGGCGGGGTTGCCGCGCGCGTTGCGTGTCACGGCCAGGAAGGCGCACTTGCCTGGATTGGCCTGCAGCACCGTCCACTCCAGGAACTTCTCAACGACAGCGTGGCAGCGCGTGATGCCGGCCGCGCTGTCGCTGAACACCTTGAGGTCGTCGGCGTAGGCGGTGGTGCATGGCCGCACCCCGTCCGCCAACGCGACGCCCACTCCGTCGAGCTTCTCCAATGCTCGGAGCAACGGCACCAGCGCGGCGATGAACAGGAGGGGGCTGAGTGGACAGCCTTGGTACACGCCCACCTCCTGCCGCACTGGTTCCGTCGCTCCGTCGGCCGCGTTGCCGACGACGAAATAGGAGTCCTCGTAGATGTCGTCGCAGCGCTCGACGAACGCACGCTCGACGCCGAGCAGGCGGAGCACATACCACAGCATGTCCTGGTGAACGGACCCGAACGCGTTCCGCAGGTCGTACCAGACCTGGTACAGCCTGCGGCGCATGCGTCGGGTTTGGTCCAGGAGCGTGGTTGCCACGAAGTTGTGCTCGTGGCAACCATTGTACGCCCTGAACCCCTTCTGCGCCATGGGCAGCAGTCCGTTCGCCTCCAGGTACGTCGACAGCCGACGCTCCAGCAGACCGCTGTAGAGCTTGTAGATCGCGGTCTGCAGGCAGATCGGCCGCCAGTTCGCTGGGTCGTTGGGGTCGCCCTTCTTGTGGATGAGGCGGACGAACCCCACCTTCGACGGGGCAGGCACCCGGTGGTGGCGCCAACAGAACTGGAAGGCTGCGTGGAGGAGGGGGGCCAGCTGCGCCGCGAACTTCTTGTAGATGTCGTATCCCACGCCGTCGTGGCCGGGGCTGGAGTTCGTGGCCGCTTGCATGAGCTGGTCCTCCACCTCGTCCATCGTCAGCTCGTCCGTGAGCGCGCTCCGCCGCTCCTGCGGTGTCCCGACGTCGGTCATCGCCTCGCGGAACAACGCCCCGCAAGCTTCATCTGGTAGGAAGTTGATGCGGGGCGAGTTCACCGCCGTGAAGAGCTCGTGGAGCGTGCCCGAGTCGATGGGGCACGTCTCCGGGTGCTCCTCCGCTGCGGTCTCCGCCGACGCAGCACGCAGAATGTCCTCGACGCACTTGCTCTCGTTGCGAGCGAAGTCGTGGCGGAGCTGCTGTTGGCGCATCGAGGCGCGGATCCGGCCGACGCGGCGTTGCGCACGGCGGACGGCCGATCTGCTGGTGGGTCGCTCCTGCTGCACCGCCGCCATCTCGTCGAGGGCCTCGTCGAGTCGATGCTCGCGCTGAGTGCGCGTCACCCGGGGCGGTCACTGTCGCTGCTGTTGCAGTGGAGGCCGAGGGTGGGGCTGGGCTGCTGTGAAGGGCTGCAGCAACTGCCGGATGCGACCGGGGATGGCGCTGATGTATCCATCGCCCGAGGTCCAGCTGTCTGCGTCTTCGATCTTGCACGCTAGCTCCTCCGCCATGGCCTGCAGGGCCGACGCCGCCGCTTCCTGCTCGTCTTCGGTCAGCTGCCGCAGTCGAAGGCGCGGCTGCCGCGCTGGAGCCGTCCCGGGCCCGATAGGCAGCGTGGGGAACGCCTCGCCGCCGTCGCGCGCGGCAATCTCTGCGTCGATGTCCTCGTCATGATCGCTGGCAGACTCGGCGCGCGTGGGTGCGCACGCGGGGCGGGCAGGAGGTGCGGGTTGCTCGCGCTGGCGTTGTGCAGCAGGATCCATGTGGAGGCAGCTCTCCATCGCCCCTTGGTGCTCGCCGCACTCAGCCAGCGAACGCTTCAGGTCCAGCGCCCGGTTTGCCAGTCTGTCCGCGTGCGCGTTCGCCTTCCGGTCGATGTGCTTGAGCGTTAAGGACGTCACGGCGCGGAGGGCGTGGCGGACGCGGTTGCGCAGCTGGCGGAGGCACGGGTTCCTGCAGGCGAAGGTGCCCTTGACCTGCGCTACGACGAGGTGGCTGTCACCTTCGATCTCCAGGTGCGAGGCGCCGTGGTGGACGGCACTCTGCACGCCAAGCAGCAGCGCCGTGTATTCAGCGGTGTTGTTGGTCTCGCTGCTGTTTGGCATGTAGTGCGAGCACGTCCACGCCACGGTCCCGCACGGCTTGAACAAGGCGGCACCAGCTCCCCCAGGTCCCGGGTTCCGGCGGCAGGCGCCGTCGAAGCGGAGCACCCACGGCTCGGGCATAGCCGGCCCTCCGTCGACGTCCATCGCATCGGGGGCTGTCGTCGTGGCCGCGGGGGAAGCGGGCGGGTCTGGGCAGCGCCGAGCCGAAGCAGGCCGGCGCGTCGCTGGTGCTGGTGCCGTGGGTAGGCCTGTGAGCAGGCGAGCTACAGCCGCTGCCCCGATCGCGCCGTGACGTGGACCCCACCGTGTTGCACCGGTGACCGGTGCAGCGGAGCCCAGTGGCCGGTGCGCTGCCGGGTTAGCAGCGTGCTCGTCGTTCACAGCCTGGGCAGTGTCGTTCGTGCCAGGTCTTGGGCCCCAGCGCGTTGCTCGTCTCGCT